ACAAGTGTATTAATATCTAAACCCGCAGCACTCGAATTCCACAATATAAATTAATATAAAGATTTTTAAGAAAATGAGGACTAAGAAAAGAACCTGCAATCGAAAGATATTCAAACAAAGCGCTATAACGTGATGTACCAATGAATATACAAAAACAATGCTAAAATCAAAGAACGAAGGAAACACTAAGATTTACATCCGCACTGGGATAACTGTAAGAAGCGGAGGCTATACGAATGCAATAGAGACGGTGCAGGAAACCATTGTACCACGCGGTAAGGGGAAGGAAGAAACAATTCTGCTACTTCAACGCTATCGAAGCCGCAACTTGGGCACGTTTCTTACAAAGATTGTAATGAATATTGCACGCACACTAATAATCACAGTGAAATACATATATATGTGTGTAAGTTTGTATAAATGTGTGACTATGTGTGCGTATATCGATAACAATGGTTTGTATGAAAATAAAAGATATGAATTAAAAACAAGGAAATTGTAATTTCGTTACTTTGGCAACGGTGAAAGTCTAAGAAAAACCGAAGCAAGTGGAGAATAAAGCAACAGTTTTTGAAATTACCGTTATGTAGCAGTGGCGCACATACATACATACAAGTATATGTGTGTTGTATAGTAAAGGTATAAGCAATTGAAAAAAAAAAAAAAATTGTGCAACAAAAGTTGCGGCAAGCGTGTTGAAGTAGGAAATTTCAACACACAAACAATAAAGCTTGAAGAAAGCAAACCAAGCAGAGGATATGCCAAACATTGGGTATTAATAAATTTCATATAAAGATTTTTTTTGTAAATAAACTACAGGCGGTATGCTCGACTCGAAGTCTTATCGCATATAAGTATATACTTTTGTGGAAGTATGTACATATTATATAATATTATAAGGACAAATATATGCACTTACAAAATATTATATACATACATACATATGTGTATTTTTATTGTTTGCAACTGGAGTGCCAGGATATTCTATGTACTTACATATATATTCAATGGTAAAGTTTACGCGTATAGTAAGCGAATTTTAAGACTTCAATGTGAACTTTTAAAACAACTACATAAGTATGTACATGCATATGTATATGAAAATAAAATGTAGACACTATAAACTTCATAATTAATTTTGTGGTTAGTGCAAGTATGATTAATAAACAATTCTGTACATATTTATTTACATTTATTAATATTTTTTTTGCATGTTTTAAACGAATATTAGAACCAATACTACATTGATATTTCAATTTAAATACCTTGAAGGGCTTAGGCTAGTCTATACCCAACAAAAAAAGCCTAACTTGGACAATTTATTTGAGAAGTATGGTAAAGGTATTCCAAATTCTCTCTGCCAAACTTTATTAAACATATATTTGAGTGCACAAAAAGCATTTTATATTGGCATTTTGATAGAAAATGCCCGCTACTAGGTCAATCTCAACGGGTGACAGAACTTGTACTTAAACGCAGAACCCCTTTAGGCAAGAATCTTAAGCTAACATATGCTGATATGAAAATATGCACCCGGCAAGTAGCATAGTATTTAAGGGTGTTAAGATTTAAATAGTGTTTCCACTGTTAAGGATACAAAAATCAGTTCAATACAGTTCAACAATCTTTATTGCCTAATATTATTTTTATATCTCTCTAAATAGTTTCTTAAACCTCACAATTCGTAAATTATATACAAACATCTTATGACATTGAACAAAAGGTATTTTATTTCTATAGGAATACTAGGTAGAAGATAAATAGAAATAAATTGAGGCTTGCACCGCTGCCTAAGGTCTATTGTGCCATCACCTGATAAAGGCCCAGCACACTGATAAATTTCAGTATTTTGCAGGGTACTATTGAGGCGACCGTATTCGGATACATAAACCCAAGGGCTTTAATCCTGAGTGTACAGACTGCCGTGCAGGTTAAGTAATTGCATTTGAGCCTACAGTAGCCAGTGAAAAATACCACAAGAAGCTAGAATTTGAAGAAATTTGAGAAATTTTTTTTTGAGAGAGCTTGAGAGGCTTTAACGCTTCTACGTTGCACAAATAGCGATATAATCTCATAATTTGATATCGCTTTAAGGGTCGCTTGACTATCGCTGAGTATAGCAAAACTTTCATTGCGATAGTTGCGTTGGAGACATATCTCTACACACCGACTTATAGTAAAGACTTCTGCTATGAAAATGCTCGGAAAACATCCCATAGATATGGAGAGTTTGTGCGCGGTAATGCGACACCTGCATCAGTGACTTCTGACGTTTTCAAGCCGTCAGTGTATGATTTAATAGTGCTATTCCTTAGCAGTAGGTAGCTTGACCTACTACTTCATTCAGCCTTACTGCCGAGGGTAACTTTACATTTTTTTGCGAAGTTTACGCTTTAGGTAATTGCAGTCCCTCGGGAGAAAAGCAGGTGGTGTCTACAGTAGAATTCAAAGTAAGACGCAGAATTTCGGCCCAATTAGTTTACTCCAATTTTCTGCCGCCAAGGGTTAAACTCTTAGGTCCGGAAGGGACATTTTCTTGGCAAAATTTTATTACATAGTATGTAGTAAGTATTGACTCTCGTTTATATGTGGCCACAGACAATTAACTTACTAATATTCTTTAAATTGCTGGAATCAATGGACTCTAGAGGAACACCTCAAATTTTGGAACACTAGCAGCACAGGGCATAACACAAAAGTACTTTGGAGTAGTGTTGGGGGTGAATAGACCAAAAAGCTTATGAATTGAGGTAAGAGGGAACTAAGTAAGATTGTAGGGGTCAGCACAGAGCACTCTAAAATACCACTTTCAGCAACTTGGTAAACTGGAGTCGACGAATGCAGAGCATGTGCGTCAAATGATGAGGCGCTGGAATATTATCTCTGCGAATCTGGAATATTATCTTTACGATAGCTTCCACTGCTCTCAATACTTCAACTTAAGAGACATTAGGCAGCTGGGGTGGGTGGTTAGATATTTTGCAAATTCACTGAGTTGTTGTATTAGACTACCACTTGAAAGTACAATAGGCCTAATGATAGATGAAATGCAGCCGCCTGCGATCTGCCGCTCCTGCGACTCTTTTTTTCCCATAAACCAATATTATCTATTACTATTTATGGAATGATACATAAGCTTTGAGTTCTAATTAGGACCATGGGTCGGTACAAAATATTTGTATCGGAATTTTCTCACATATTTTCTTAATTTAGATATCTTTCAAGATGAAATCTCAACATTGTGTGTGTGTGTGATTTTTTACATTACATTTATAAATTAATTAATTTAAATTATTTCCAATGAATGCGTCGGTTAACTAGTCAGAATTAAAACACCAAATTCATGCAGTTTTGCGCATGCGAGGGTTTTGAAAAATATGTTTGCAACTAAAACCCTCTAAAAATGTTATGAGTAATACACAAAAATATATATGTATGTATGTGTGTACATATGTATGTGCAAACATGATTTTTCTGTCTTTCCTTTAAATGAGTTATACCATGCAGAAGAGAGTTTATTACGGCGCCGTGACTTGGCGATAATTCTAACATAAGCGGCAAGCTATTAGACATATATACTTCATTATTACACGAGTAACATTGATTTAAGCATTAAACAACAATGTAATAGCGGCACATATTTAAGGAACATACATACCTACATTCGGATAAAAAATATAATTGATGCAGGCATTTGAAAGTGATTTCTTTGACTTCTTTAGAAGTACGGCAGATGACGTGTGTACGAGGGCGCACCAATAAGTATGTAGCTTCATCGCCAGAGGGCGCTATAATCGCCAGCGAATAGTCCAATTCAATGACATACGTAGCTTTGTTTTGATCGCGTGTGAAAACGGGCATGCCTGTGGACTTTAGAAAAATAAAAGTCGAGCAATTTTCGGTCTCTATATTCTCAGAGGGAACTGAAGGCGATCCCGGACGGCGCCTACAAGGCATGTTTCGATGATTGGAAAAAGCGGTGGCATATGTGTATCGCTTCAGAAGGGGCATTATTTGAAGGCGACAAAATAAATATTGATGAAGATTAAAAACTTTTCGTTTTAGTTACAATTCCCGGAAACTGTCTGGTCTTAATGTATATGTCCAATTGAGAGGAGTTTTTGTGACGGCCGACAAAACATGGATCCACTTGGACACACCAGAGACCTAGGAACATTCGAAACAGTGCACTCAACTGCAACGAAGCTGCATCGAAGAAAGCAAAGATTATCTTATCGGCCGGAAAGTTGATGGCCATCGTTTTCAAACGGTTTTAAGAAGTTGTAGAATCACGGAGTCAGGTGTATCTAGCTATAAGGAGACTATTTAAACTTGAATTGCTAGTTGTTCGCAGCCTTCGTTTTTTTGTGGGCTAAATATTTATTGGACCACCCTCGTGTATATGTATTTGCTATAACTGTGCTATGAAATCCGTCAAAAATACATATTTTTTATCAATGTAATTTTCATCGATATCAAACGCATTTTAAGCGGCAGAAACACAAAGCCGAAACCAGCCAAGGCAGTACACGCGCGAGCTTACTGGCTGACTGACAGATACATTTTATTAGTGGTGCGATGTTGAAAGCCCAATAGCCGCCGCTTCGACAGCGGGTACTTATGTGCTTAAGTGAGTTAGTCAGCGCGCGAATAGATGGATGAGCGGAATGAGAACGAATAGAATTCTTTGCTCTTCGACTGAGTGACAGCCGTTAAGTTAGACGGCTTGTCGGTTTGTTCGTATTTAGGTTGTCGGTCGGTAGTCAAATTGCCTCATCATGCTGCTGACAGGCGCATGGCGTAATGTGGCTATGTGATTCCGGCCGCCTGATTGCCAACCGTTTTGGCGACCTCTCTGTAGGCCGCAGCGCAGCAAGCATCCTTTCGTGCCCTTTTTTCTTTTTTTGTTTTTTTTTTTGTTTTTTGTGGCGCACTCACAGTTTACATTATTTCTTATTAAATTTGCGCACAATACAAGGCAATCATATGGTATTACTTACCATAGTTGCTTACAGTTGCTGCCGTTATTTCATCTTTTCCTTTACTTTTCAGCAGGCCGGGGTCGTTTTGGTAATCTCCAACCCCTTAGTTGTCGTTTTTTGCAGTAGTCATGCTCCCAGTGATCCATCTTAATTTTGTCGACATTCGTTCGTTGCGCAGTGTTGCTTCGTAAGCGTTGTTCCTATTGAAAGAGAGCAGATTTTTGCATTTTAATTTGTCGACTGTTGGGTTGTTCAATAAAAAAGAATATTACAAAAGGAGCAAGAAAAAATTGAATTAAATAAAATACTACATTTGGCGAATTGGTTGCGTGAATAATGCGCACGAATTGTGAGGCACTCCGCTGATCGATGACATTTTTATTGAGTTGTGCGGCGGCAGCGTAAAGCTCTGCATAACAGGAGCGTCTCAGGAGACATATTATACATGTAGGTTAATATATATATTTTTTGACAGATGAATCTTTAGAAAAGCTAGCTATTTGCACAGTTCGCATGATTTTTTGCATTCCTTGGAAAAAGTAACGGAATGTTAGGTTAGAATCAAAGTTAATCAGAAAAAAAGCATAGAGTGAAGATTTGCAAATCGTAGAAACTATATTTTCACTTTTTAAGACTTTATTGTGAAAAAATTGTTATACATTTAATGTTCAAAGTATTGCCCATCGGAAGCTATGATGTTTGCCCTTCTTTCTGGCAGTTTGTTGATCCCATCCCAAAAGAACTTCTCCGGCTTGGAGGTCAAGAAAGAATCAATCCAATTTCTGATGCCCTGTTCTGAATAGAAGCGTACTCCGGTGAGGGCATTCTGCATTGATCTGAACAAGTGGTAATCGGAAGGTGCTATGTCTGGGCTATAAGGCGGGTGAGGTAGAACTTCCCACCCACAGTTTTCCAAATAGTTTTTAACTGGCCTTGCAACATGTGCCCGAGCGTTGTCATAATGAAAAATTATTGATTCGTGTCTGGTCGCATATTCTGGTCGTTTTTCCGCGATGGCCTTTTTCAAACGAATCAATTGTTTTCGGTAGAGGTCCCCATTGATCGTCTGACCCGATTTCAATAGCTCATAATAGAGCACACCCTTGTGGTCCCACCAATACATAGCATAACCTTAGCAGCATGGATATTCGGCTTTGCCGTGGATGTTGATGGTTGGCCGGGCTTCACATACGATTTCTTGCGCTTTGGGTTATCATAATAAATCCATTTTTCATCGCCAGAGACAATCCAATGCAAAAACGACTTCTTTTGGTGGCGTTGAAGCAACATTTCCGACATGCAGAATCGACGTTCGTCGTCTCTTGGCTTTAATTCATAAGGCACCCAATTTCCAAGCTTCTGGATGAATCCTAATGATTTTAATCGTCTGGAAACGGTTGCTTGATCAACTCCTAATACTTTTGCAAGTTCTTCTTGCGTCTGGCATGCATCTGCGTCGAGCAATGTCTCCAATTCTTCGTCTTGAAGTTTGTTTGGCTGTCCGGGTCGTTCTCCGTCGTCTAAGTCGAAATTGCCACTTTTAAACCGTGCAAACCACTTTTGGAACGTTCATTCGGCTAAAGCATGGTCACCATAAACGTCCAGTAAAACACGATGGCTTTCGGCAGCACTTTTCTTCATGTTAAAATAATGAAGAAGAACTCCCCGCAAAAACACTTTATCTGGTACAAATTTCGACATTTTCAAATGAATGAAACAAATTGTTGTTCACGCTCAAACAATTTATATCTACTGAAAACGACGCGAAATGGCAGTACCTTTGAAATGAATATAGCCACAGATGAATACGACGCGAAATAATACTAGTAGAGCCCTCTCTTAGAAAACCGCACGAATTAATGCATACACCCAACTCCTCCATGCCGCCTTACTTCTCAGATATTCTGACTTATTAAAAGTATATCCAGTCTCATTCCATTACATAAAACATTTCGGGAAACATTTCTGGCACTCTACAATCGATATTTTCCAAAATTTTTGTTATTCATCTCGAATAGTGGCTTTGATTACGCACCGACTCCCAGGTGAACTCGAGCTCCGTTTGAATATATTTCATTACCCGCAGTTTGCACTGGGTGGCATTTGGTCTGACAGCAGCTTTGATATATGTACATACGTTACCATAACATATTTCGTTTACTATAACTTTATTAGTATATCAATATATACTATATGGCTACCGAGGCAATAGTCTCACATGGCATTACTTCAGAGAATGTCTTTAGAAGCAGGGATGCTGTATATGTAGCGGCTACTGGCATATATACTTGGATTCCAGACCACAAAGTAATTCCGAGATACGAAATAGCTGATGAGATTGCAAAAGTGCCATCCATCGGTCTATCGAACCAGTACCATATGGAAGTCACCAAAAACGAGATACATTGAAATTTTCCGAAAAGGCTGGCAGACGGATCAGGACGACATGACGGCATTATCTAGAACTCGTCTTAGATATCTAGTAGTTACTTCACTTGCTGCGTAGTTTCTAGATCGTTGGCTCTACTGGTACACAGCATAGACGAATAAACGGTCGAAACAGTATACTTCTCCCGGCGAAAGCTGTCCTAACGGCTGAAAGATGGAGGGAAACCATATTTTGGGATTCACAAGATGTAACCTACTTTGACAACCTGAAGAAGAGTAGAACGGGCAACAATTCTACTATGACGAGCCACTCGTTTGATTCGACGCTGAAGTTCAGAAAAAACGATAATTTTTGGCAAAGAAAAATTGCTCTACAGCCATAACAACTGCACCGGTAGACATCCCCGCTGTCCTCACGGCTAAAACGAATTAAGTTACGATGTCTGTAACATCCACCCTAATCTCCAGATTTGGCCCCGCACGACTTCGGTTTTGGTTCCAAACATTGAAAGGTTACGTGAAAATTACCGAAAACGTATTTTTCAGTCAAGTTAAAGAAGTTGGACCATAGCGGGTGTATAGCTGGATCAAGATTCAGCTAAAAGAAGAGTATGTTGAGTAATAACTCGACATTTTTCAAAATTTTCGTTTTTCATTTGTAGACTAAATTCTTATCATATTGCATTCGTAAATGGGTACACCAACATTTCGGCCCCTTTTCTGCAACGCTCCTGCATAACAGTCACGTAAAAGTAACTAATCAAGTTCTCAACACTTTTCTTTAGCGAATCAGTGGCAATCGCCGATTGTTTGGCTTGACATATTCGACCAAATGTGCACACCGAAAGAATCAATCAGATTGTCATGCGCCGTCAACATACTTTTTGTACACCAATACGCATACACTACATACATACATAAGTATGTATAAATGAATACAGAAAGCAAATCTCAACCCTTTTTCAAAAACACTACATCATACTAGATATTTTTGGATGGGGCGCTTTAAAGAACTAGAAAAGTACGAGTAACAAAAAATGTGTAAAAAAGAATCCAAATAGGTGATACGTCATCATGATTTCGCAATTTGCCACTAATACTTTACAATATATGCAAACATCTGTAAATGTACTTATGTGTGTCAATGTATGAGCCTGCGGCCTTTTTCGGCAGCTTATTTGGAATTCAGCATAAATTGTTTAAGATTAACGCATCTCCAACAGCTGAGATTACAGCGTGATTTGCCGAAATTTGTTGGTTAATGTAAAAAACTGAGCATCATTTGACATAACGTTGCCACAATCGATGTTGCATGCATGATTCAATGTAGAAAAGGGAATAAATATATATGTATATGTGGTACATATGTATTTGTTTAAGAATAAATTTAAAGTAACAGAAACAAGAAAAAAACCTTAACTTCGGTTGCTATAATACCCTTCACAGGTACATTTCTCATAGCATAAAAGGGTATAAAAAGATCTTTATCTTGATTTTGAACGGTTAGTTTATATGGCGGCTATATGCTATAGTAGCCTAGTCTGAGCAATTTCTTCGGAGATTGCACCATTGTGTCAGACAGTAAGTCATACCAAATTTCTGGAAGATAGCTCGTCATATGATTAAGCTTTTCATATAAGCACTTGATTTGGATCGTTCAGCTTGCATGGTAGTTATATGCTATAGTGATTCGATCTAACCAATTTGTTCGCAAATTGTACCGTTGCCTTTAACAGTAATTCATACAAAATTTGCTGAAGATATCTCATCAAATGAAAAAGCTCTCCTTACTTAACTCCGATTGTTCAGTTTATATGGCAGCTATGTGCTATAATGGTCCGATATCGGCGGTTCCGACATATGAGTAGCTTTTTGGTGAGGAAAAGATGTGTGCAATATATCAGACCGATATCTCAAAAACTAAGGGACTAATTCGAGTACATGCAGACGGACATGGCTAAATGGACTCAGCTCGTCATCATTTAATTACAAACTTCGTGGCAAACTTAAACCATCCCTATACAGGGTATAAAAATATATACTTATACACATATAAATACATACATTCAGGTATACATATATGTGTGCAGTACGTGCGATTGCCACTATCAAAGCGCAACGATTCCGTATGGCACCCGCTTCAACCGCTTCGCTCATCTGCGCTTTCATGTCGGCAATTGCGTGCGTAGCGCAGATACTTCATCTGTAAATGGCATAAAACACGCTGCTCTTGTTCTTCTTTATTTGTTATATTTGGTTGCCTGCCGCACGCCGTTGTAATTTGTATTCATATGCCAAAGTGTTGCTGTGCAAATCTGAATTTTGTATTTTCATATGTTATTGTGGCTGTTGTTGTTATTGTACTTGTTGTAATTGATAAAATGCCAAATTGTTATTGATGTACACGCGCGTGTGAATGCCTGTTGCTGCGCGCAATGCTATAATACCAAATATAGTGTATTGAAATAAAGGGTGTTTAAAATATGGGGTTTCGTAGTTCTTATACCATATATAGTGTTTGCTGCTTCTTCTGTTCAACATTATTGGTTAGATCGCAGTTAAGAGGAAGAGTAGGAGCTGGAGACTTCTTTCGACTTTCAGACCACTGTAGCGCCTTTCAAGCGGAGATGGCAGCCACCAAGGTACAATAGCAGTAGATGTACTATTCCGAAGTGCAGCTTCCTTGAAAGAGGTGTACATTCACTCCGATATCCGAGCGGCTATACTGGCTTTGAGCATGCTGACCTCTGAAGAGAGCATGACCCCTTTAGCAATAGCTTCTTTCTTATTAGACTTGTATGGGTACCC